ACAAGACATTTACATAAAAATTAATTATGTTGGCATGAGTAGGTGAAAGGCACCTGCCTAGTTATTATGAATTCTCAGTGGGCAGTGCTTAAATGAAAGTCTATTTTTTAACTTACCCTAGAAAGTTCGCCAATTTCAGAATTTGTAGGAAGCTGCTACTGTAAAAGTCACAGGGACAAGAATACTCTTCCAATAAGATCATCTGCCTCATATAATCAGTGATTCCAAATGCAAGTTTCTGATTAGTATATGGAATGGGATAATTTACACTCATGAGAAAGTATAAAATAACAACAGAATTTTCATTCAAAACACCTGAGATGCAATTACTTATACACTTTATTGAACTTCTTATATTAACAGGATTACTTGAGATTGAAGGTGCCCCTTTAGCAACCAAAACTGCTGAAGCTTTACAAATAGTTACAAGTAATTCACAACCACTGAAATAACAGTATTTCTGAACAATAAAGTCTTTAAGAAGAAACATATGAGGAAGATACTAATTTGAAGGTCTCTTCTGTTAGAGTTCCTACTAATTTCAGTACCACAATTCCACAAGTATGTATTTCTGTGCTAAATAATTAAGACTAAATTTGATCATAGCAGTATAATTTATATACTACCCATGTCTCACCATTATATTGTATGTTATTTAAATCAAGGATTAATGGGCTTTTTCTATAAAAGGCCAGATAGTAAAGAATAGCATATAGGTCTTCATATCAAGAAAGGGAAATCAATTTAAGAAAATTTTGTTGATAAAATAACAAAATATAATAATAATAACTGAATAAAAATTTTTGCCATACGGGTCTACCCATGAGAGGAATATAAATTTTTTGTGCCACAAAGAACTCTTTTTTTTTCAAACAATTAAAAAAACTTTTTTTCCAAACATTTAAAAATAGGAAAACCACTCTTAGCTCACTGGCCCTACAAAACAGGCAGTGGGCCATATTTGGCCAACCTCTGAGCTAAATATTACATTATCTTACAATTGATGTTATGCAATTCTATTAATTTGTTTTCACTGAAGAGGTAAATTAATTCAATCTTGATATAGAGATTGGGTCCCATAAGGGAACCTTTTGTATACAATTGTATACAAATTTGTATACAAATTGTGATACAATTTCCAAAATTTTAGAAGACAATAATGTTAATTACTAAGAGTGAGCACTATGTATCCTGTGAAAGTCATATTTTTGACCCTGAGCTAGCTATGAGTTGTGTCGTCCCCAGAGCTGGAGACTGCCCTTATCAGAAATTATTTGGGATGCATACAATCAGAGGTGGGGAGAAGGCACCAAACTGAAGAAAACAAATCAGTATGGCTGTTAGAAAAGTGAGTCAAAATGCACACTCACCGGTATGTCCAAAGGCCAGCTATTTATGCATTGTATCATATAATTATATTATCATCAGTACTTTACTATTACAGTCTAGTTATTTTTTGCCATGGGAACAAATTCTTGGGAGAAGAAGGAAAAGCAGGAAGCTTCAGGAAAGAATTACAAGGCTGAGTTTTAACAATTTGGGAATCTGTCCAGTTGCATTCACATTGCATCCCTGAGCCCACAAGAGTGATGATCCACTCAAGCAATTACCTTCATCTATTGCTGATTTTAACATATCCTTTCCATGATTCTGTCAGAGTAAATATCAGATAAACCTTTTTTTTCAATTAGATAAAAGAAAGAACTTAACTTTTAATTAAGTTATTCATAAGCTACTTGGTGAGCATTAAATATTTTCAAAGTTAAGACTCAGGAGGCCAGGAAGCCTTTGTCACATGATGTGCAAGAGTAAAAATAACTAGTCCATACACCTGTTCCTTCTTTTGTGGTGAGTCAATCTCTCCCCCAAAAACATCTTAATGTTCAGCAAGAAACTTTGGGTCCATAAGAATAACTATAAAAATAGATATCTCCCTTCTCAATTCATGTCTCTTGGTAGCAAGTGAAGAAACCAACAACAGTCTGTGCAATGTATCAGAGAGCAAGCCCTTCCAGGAGGACCTGTCTCTAAACTTCCATGTAAGGAACACCTCAACATAATAACAAATTTGTCTTGACCACAATAAAGAGGAAAGATCTGCGGCTGCTTCACTGCTTTTGAAGTGTCAAGCAGGGCGCTAGTAGGCAAAGAATGTGGTTTATTCAACATATTTCATCTTTACACAGGTGAGGAGTAAGCAAAGCCACCAAATATGTGGGAGCACGTGCATCTGGTGGTTTATACAGATTTATTTACATATATACATGTGCACATACATATGAACATGTTTATGTATATGTGTGTATTTGCACAGAATCCTTCCAATGTGAAGTTACCGTGTTGATTAATTAGATCAACTAACATTCAAATTAAAGTGCATCTAATCCCTGAGCTGTTCCTGGTTTACAGTGCTGTCCCATGAAAGCTTTCACATTGGCAGCCTTGGGTCGTCTTGGGGGCTGACTCAGTGGAGAACAGAATTGCTCTTGGTGAATCAGCTGTAAATAAAGGGAGAAGGTCTTTGTATTCACCTGGGAGACTGACCTTTAATTTTATTCATATTCAGTTCTCCCTGACTTTAACATTGGTATTCAAGATTGATTCACGTCTCAAAATAAAGTCTTGTCCAAAAGAATTACTGGTGTTACTGTAACACTTTAAAATGCTTATGCTGAAAAAAATTAAAAATACAAAAAATACAAATGCTTATGCTGGTTGATGATCACTTGTCCATACACTGAATCCCAGCCTTGATGGTAAACATATACACTTGTTCTTCCGAACAAGATAAAACATATGAAGCACGTGGTAGTAGCAGACCTTGCTTCCTTCCAAAAATTAAAAAAAAAAAAAAACAACTGAGTATTAAAGAATAAAACAAAAATTGGGAAATGAATTTTTTCTCATATATATTATTGCAAAGCATACTATCTAGGTGATATTAACAAGAAATTATTAAATGCAATTTTAATTAGATGAGTGCATTTATTTGTATTTTTGACACTTTAAGAACTGTCAACTCAATATATATGGTAACCAAGAACTCCAACTTTATTATTTAAATAATTCCTAATAATTTAAAATTGTATAGGTTCTTTAAGTTTTGCAAATGTTTAGAAGAGCATTAAACCACTTCAGGAACAAACCAAACGTGAGAGAATACAGAACCAGGGTTGAAATTTTAAGTGTCAGCCAGAGGCCCAGCCAAAGCTAAGCACTCCTGAATATTCTGCTCTCCTCAGGTCTCAGCAGCTCCTCTGCCCTTCACTAAAAAGATCTATTACAAAAGAAAGCTATTTAATGTCGAGCTGCCTTTTACTGGACTTCAAGAAAACAAACAACGATCAATCAATCCTATTCATATATTATTAACCCAAATATAGGCAGTGCCTTGGAAAGACAGGACTGTGTCCAGGCCAGAGTTCAGCTCTGCGTTTCTGAAGGGAAGAAGGCTTCAAGTGATGTGCTTTACATTGTAAGAGTGACCTCTAGTGCCTTCCTTTTTTGTTGAACTTCTGTAGTTGGACGATGAATTACTTATGCCTTCTCTACAAAACTTTGTGTGCATGGGTATGTGTGTCTGTTTAGTTACTGTCTGTCTGTTGCAATGCTTCTCAAATGCTGCCATTACAACCATCCAAGGTTCTGACTAGGTGAGAATAGGCAACTTTCCTTGTCTCATGGAATTCTTATACAACTAAATTAAAACTGAATCTGAAACACAGTGCAGCATCCGAGGGATGTTCTCTTCTTGCAGAGTGACAGATACACCATGCCACTGAATGAGTTAATACTGCATGGGACCCCGAAACCACAGTAGCCACGCAATGTGCATGGACATCTGACTTGTGCCACAAGGGCCATTTATCATGTTTTTCCCACATCAGAGGGCTTTAGAGTGTTCCAGGGCTGTGCCATAGCAAATGCCTGATTACTGGCTTATCTGTATTCCCTAAACCTAAACCTGGTTATACAGCAGCAGCATCAATTCCTGAACAGGCCTCACAGCCCCTTCTAGAAGAGCAAATGAGCTTTTCTTTTTAAATCAGAGAAAGAGATAAAAAGTTGAATTTGCAGAGCTTATATATCATTTATCGAGGAGGGGGAAATTCTCCCATTTAGGGATTTTAAGCCAAATACAACTTTTAAAACTTTTTCTATCTCTAATAAAAAGTGCATGAAGGGAGTTCTGCCAAATTATTTTGGGTGATACTTAAATAAGAAATAGGTCTTAATAAATCTTCCCTGAATCAGTTAACTTAGAATATTCAATCAGAAATGTATAAAGTTAAAAATAATGCTTTTAAGAATTCATACTTCTGACAAATCACCTAAATGTTTTTCCTTTAAGCAAAATGTAGGAATCAAGCCCCCTCTTTCCAGAGTACTCAAATCTCATTCTTTAGGGAGTGAGGGCACAATTCTAAATACTGGGGTTTACCTCTACCAGTTTGCTCCTGAATTCTGCAGTGCATTTCGGCTATTAACCTGGCATGATTTTAAAGATGCAACCAGCTATCAGTCTACCAATGCAAACTTCAAAAATCTAAGCTAATGCAGCATAAGGTAAAGTCTGCCAGTTGTTTTCCTGTTACACATAATTCCAATAAAATTCAGTAATCCTTAAAAAGGATTCACAGGCTATTCCCTGGTTAAGATGCTAATTTAATGTTTTAATGTTTTACTAGAACTTGAGCTTTCTCAATGAATATTCAAAGAAGAGAGGATAAGAGTCTGCTCATGGACAAAAAAAAAAAAAAAAAAAGAAAAAAAAAGAAAGAAATGACACTTTGCGTATTTTGACCAGACCAGGAGGAAAGACAGACATGGGTAAAGCCAGTCATATCTGCAAGATTTTTAAGTGAGGCTTCATTTACAGCAACATGCTTTGCAGCAATGCCAGTTACAAATAATAATCATAAAAACAACAGAATTAAAGTTTTGCAGAGAAGCTCCCCCCCCCATCACTGCAAGTTTTAAATCATTTGCTGTATACTTACAGGAATTCCCAGCTATGACCCTTTTCCAATTTTGAGTAGATAACAGAAGTAGCATCTTGAGGACAGCTCCGGTGATAGACCCCATGGTCACATTTGTTGGGCTCCCCCAAAAGATCTTGAGTGGCTCTCCGAGCGCTGTCTGGGTCTTCAGCACCTCTGGGTCTCTCAGTTGCTCTCCCTCCTTCCCTCCCCTCTCTCTCTCCCTCTCTCTCTGTCTCACACACACACAGGCACACACACACACACACACCCCCCACACAGCCCTGACTCCTCAGTGAAAGGCCCCCCCCAGCATCTTCCCTTACAGGCATCCACAGAGATCAGGCCACGCCCACTCCTCTCGGCGGCGGTCCCCGACAGTGGCCCTGGTCCCTCCTCCAAATTCACAGCGGCGCTCGGAGCCCAGCGCGCGCCGCACCGCTGACCGAAGCTGCACCTGCAGGCGGCGGCCTGCTACTCCGGGGCCTCCTCGGGGCTCCCTCCCCGCCCCGCTATTCTCCAACAGTCCTTAACCCTTTCTCCCCTCTAGAGACGAGGCTGGGGGGAAGGGGTGAGGCGGTGAAGGCTCCCGATTTTCTGGAGGTCTTGCCTTTAGCGGAGCCAGTCAACACACTGAGCTAATTCCCGAATATCCGGGGAGGGCATCCAGGTAAAACTGCGTTGTTTCAAAACAAAAGCATAAAAGAAGACAGAAATAACTAAGCAGTATTGGTAAATTGTAGCTAAAACTGTCCTCAGGGAAAATACTTGCTGTTGTTTTTCTCTGTTTATATAAAACTATCCTCTTCAGCTACAGTGCCAGGATTTTATTATGGAAATTCCTCACAAGGAAACAGACATTCCTGTTTGGCAGATATTTAGAATCATCTGGTAATAGTCTGCAAGAAATTAACATTTCTTATTTTAGTGCATCAGGAGGACAAACCCACAAACCGAAAGCTTTGGATGGATTTATTTTGATGAATACATCATGCTGTGAATAGGCAGCTGCATTCTTAAATTCTTTAATAAAAATTCCCAAAAGGCCTGAAATGAAGAATGATGGGATACTGAAGAAGGGGACCCCCCCACACACACACACGCACACACACCCCAAAACTAAACAATGTAAAGATATAATTCAAATGCTCTAAAGGAGAGAGGAATAAAGTTGAATTCACAAGCTCACCGACTACAGAAAAATTACTCTTCTAATGGCTGATCCATCTATTTCTTGAATAGAATATTAAAATATTTAAATAACGGGGTTAATATCAGATAATAAGTGTATCACATGGTATCACAGAGGATAAGTAATCTCTTTAAAATAAATGTGAAGATATTTAACTGATGATGTGCTAGATTTTAGAAGAATAGGAATCCTAGAGTTCTCAAGCATCTCTTGGTGATTACAAATTAGAAGATGCGTAAGCCTGTAGCAACAGTACCCTTGCTATGGAATGAATGAAATAAGGAGAAAAAGGACAGATGCATCCTCCTGTCTAACCATAAGAGCTAAACAAATACGTTTGGCTCTTGCCTACAAACAAAGCAGAAGAGGTATTTTTTTCTTTTCCTACTTACAGATGAGAAAACAAGAACAGGGAATTGAAATAATTTGTAGAGGTCACAGAGTTAGTTAAGTAGAGTACCAAAGACTGGACTTTGTTTTTCTGACTCCAATTTTACTGCTCTCACCCTGGAACTTACTGCCCCTCACATCAGAGGACACCTCCTCCCTGACCTGGCAGCAGTGGCTAAAACTTGAGGCCCTAGGAAAAAAAAATAATAACAACAGCAGGGAAAAGAAAGGTCATTGTTTGAGCATTTGCTTGTATTCCTAGGCCTATATCCCTGATTTTATTTTCTGATATAATATATTAGGCAAAAGCAGATACAAGTTGACAATTTATGTTAAGTAATTATTGAAGGAGATTAAATGTTATTGAACACATACTATATGTCATTTGTTATCTAATTAAATTATTATAGTAATCTTTGAGGGAACTATCATTCTGTCTATATAGCCAAGAGACTAAAACGCAGAGAAGTTAAGCCGTATGTCCAGAGTGCCACAGTGAGTAAGAGAGAAGGCTGGGCTGGCATTCTGGACTACAAAGCTCTAAAATCATTACTTTCAATGACTCCACACTGAAGAACAGGTTCTTGGATTCTCCTGATGAGAAAAGTTGTCTTCCTATTAAAAATTTATACTTAATTGCTCCCATAAAACAAATTAGAGAATGCTTTTAAAAGGACCAGTACACATAAATGAAAAATAACTGAAACTGTCATGCCAATAATAACTTCTTTAGGACAAACTGTAAATTATCACAGTAGCCATTAATGATGGCTTTTCCGTATGGGTGGGCTATAGCTACAGAATGAGGTGGAGGCTGGCGCTGGAGAGAAGACCACAACATTTCAAGCCACCACACCACCTGTCCCTGCCTGATGACCACACAGGGCAGAGATTGCCCGGACAACGTGAAGCAGGGGAAAGAGAGAACGTGGACTTTGCAAACAGAGGAGCCTAGATATGAATTCAGCTTTCACTATGGTTCTCATTAAGCGATTCCATTACTCTGGTCCTTGATTTCTTAAAAAAATAATAATAATAAGAGAATAATGACTAAAAGAGCCACTGTGATATAGTGTATGATAAGTATTGAGTAGCTAGCACTGAGTGGGCCCTCATTTACTTATTGGCCTTAGATCTCTGCATTCTGACTGTTCAGAGTAGTGGTTTGAGCAGGCAATGCTGGAGTCTGGCAGCCCAGGTTCAATGTCTGCCCCAGCTGCCGCACCACCAAGCACAAGCTCTTGGGCAAGCTATGTGTCACCTCTGCTTCTGTTTCCTCTTCTGTGCCCCAAGGATAAATAAAGTATCAACCTCAATGCCAAGACAGTGCCATAAAGTGAAAGCCCCTAGGAGTTACACAACCAATGTTGTTCTTGTAATCATTGTATTCTACAAATCACTTTGCACAAATGAGAAATCCAAAAGGAATTAAGACTTGCCAGAGGGACATGACCCATTAGTGGCAGGAAAGGGTTGGTCACCAAGACCCACTGACCAGTGCTGCTTTTCTCCATCCCCACCAGATGGTGCTTAATGTCAGGGGAAAAAAAAAAAAAATGAATCTGAATGGGGAAAATCAGAAAAGCATAGAGCCCTAATTTTGCACATCACTATACTGCTGACTCAGACTCGCAAATCACTTCTCCCTGTGCATGCATTTGTGGTTATATTTTCCACCGATTAAGATAAACACAACTGCTGGTGCTTAGGGTTTGGCATATGCATATTATGGGCCAGGCCCTGCTTGAGAAAGCATTATAAATCAAATCAAAATGTTAAAATTTGTAAAACAAGGTTTTCAATTTCCTCTTGGTACTACTTGCCAGAGAACTGTATGTCCCACCACAGTGTACAAGGAGGCTCCTGGATTGTACTTTAGATTGAAAAAAAGACCTTCAGGCCACAGGCGAATAAAGTCACATCAAAAGACTAGAAAGCGATCAAGATGCCACTCCTTCGTTTCTTTTATTCGTGTAAACAATTGTTTGATTTGGTGCCTGAATCTCGACTGGTTTTTTTTTTCTGGATTTCGGGGAGGGTCTGGGCTTCCCATTCTGCAATTTTGTTGATGTCACTATTCAAAATAGATTTTTCTTTTTTTTAATTTATTTGAGAGAAAGAGGGAGAAAGAGTGAGTGCATGCACATGCATAGGCAGGGGCAAAGGGAAAGGGAGAGAGAGTCCTAAGCAGACTCCACACTAAGCGCAGAGCCCAATGTGGGGCTTGATCTCAACAACCCTGGGATTATCACCTGAGCAGAAACCAAGAGTCGTCGCTTAACAGACTATGCCACCCAGATGGCCCCAAAATAGATTCTTTTTAAAACTACAATATATTTGAGGTGCAATACAGTGGTTTTAAGGAATATATATTTGGTCATTCACATGACCAAAATATAGTTCTCATATTATATTTGGTCTTCTGCACTTTCTGGCTCACAGCTACTAAAACCCTTGGAATTTCCTGATAAAGGGTGATAAATGTGTCTTTGTTATGTTAATGAAGTGACCTTTGGAAAACCCCTAAGTAACTTAAGGATGGGGACTGACTGCCAGGAGAACCAACCCTGTGATTAGAGAGTTGGAACTTTCAGTACCTCCTTGCCTCCCCACTCCTGGGGAGGAATGAGAGCTAGAGATTGAGTTCTATTGCCAGTGGTCAATGATTTAATTAATCATGCCCATGTAATTGTGTTTGGAGAGCTTCCAGTTTGGTGAACAGGTAGAGTGTAGAGACTTAAGGAGAGTGGTATGTCTGGAGAAGACATGGAAGCTTCGCACCCTTTTCGCCATACCTTGTTCTATGCATCTCTTTCATCTGGTATTCTGGAGTTATCTCATTTTAGAATAAACCAGTAATCTAGTAAATAAAACATTTCTCTGAGTTTTGTGAACCGCTCTAACAAAATAATCAAACCCAAGGAGGGGGTTGTGGGAACCTCTGATTTATAGCCAATTGGTCAGAAGTACAGGTAAAGTTGGGGGAAGGAGGACAGTTTAATAACTGAGCCCTCAACCTGTGTAATCTGATGTGATCTCTCAGTGGATGGTGTCAGAATTGAGTTGAATTTTTGGACACCCTTCTGTAATCCTGAGAATTGCTTGTTGGTGTGGGGAATTGGGGAATCACCCCCACACACACACAAACACCCACTAAAATTCATCTCAGAACAGCTACTGATGAGACAATAAAATTTTTGCCAAAAGTCCCTTCCCAAATATATTTATATTGAATATAAACAATGTTTTCTATGCTATAACCAGTAAACATACAAAAATACTCGTTGTCATTGTTGGGGCTGAACCTTTATTGAGTTAGTATTTTATTAATGGTATTTACTTTTACTTATTTTTTTGTACTACCTATTTTTTTATTATGTTATGTTAATTACCATACATTACATCATTAGTTTTTGATGTAGTGTTCCATGATTCACTGTTTGCGTATAACACCCAGTGCTCTATGCAGAACGTGCCTCTTTAATACCCATCCCCAGGCTAACCCATCCTCCCACCCCCCTCCCCTCTAGAACCTTCAGTTTGTTTTTCAGAGTCCATAGTCTCTTATGGTTCGGTATTTACTTTTA